CCCCCCACAGCCAGTATACTTCAGTTTGTTAGTTGCCCAGGTGATAGTTCCTGTTCCAGTTCCAGTTGCTCCTGTCTCTTAGAAACGGCTGGTCATTGGGATGCATAGCTGGCCACTATGATGCACGTTGTATAAACCAACCTCCAATGGACAAGCAATTCTGCCTCTGTACTTCCTGCTTGCTTATCTCATACAAGCCCTAGACCACCAGCGATCAGGGCCTGATATTCTGGGGGTGATCCTGATCAATGCCTGTCAATGTAAATAAATCTACCTCCAAATCCTGGGTGTCATTTTGGTGTTTCTGCTTGCCGTTGCACTAAAATACCAAATATTGAAATATTTGGACACCTGGCATCTTTGTACCTGGTCACATCAGTTGAATTAAGTGGAGACCAAAAAGGCTCAGTAAATATACACTGAACTGCTAAATTGAAGGGCTGGACTTGGAGGGCATCTCTAACATACTTAAGCCGGCTTTGCAGAGGGCAATGACAATGCTGTTGCATATGGCTGTTCCTCTCCTTTCCGTGTAGAACCATCCTAACCCTACCCATATCTGCTTGTGGCTGGGAGGTCTTTGAGCTAGAGGGCTGGTGGGCTGACCTCACTCTATATAGGAAGACTCAGCCAACCCTCACTAACCAGCAGAGAAAGCAAGCCTTGAGACCCCCTACATTTTCTGACAACTCCTAGGCCCAGGACATGTGGTGGGATATCAACACCAGGCAGCCCTACTCCCCGCCAGCCGGTACCAGGTGTTGGCTCATTTAAGGAACAGTATTGATTTTCACATTATGATGAACAACTCACGAGGCGCCAAAGGGAGGAGTAGAAGAGAAGCCAGCCACTGATTCCTGGAATTTATTTCCAGACACATTAATTTGTTTCTTCCCTTCAAAGTCAAATCAAGTCATCTCCATATATCACCAACGGCAGCCGGCTGGCTGGAAGGCAGTTGGGAGGGGTGGAGGTGTGCTTCGGATAAAACTCTTTGGGAGATGGGTCAGGGGAGCAAATGGAAGCAGAGTCTAGTCATCCCCAGTCCCAGTATCGTGGAAGTGAGGGCTTGGGAACAGTATTCCCAATCATTTGGTTGGAAATGTCTGGGGAAAGGACCATTTGTATCTATTTCTATGCCAAGTCTCATGCCTTAGGGCTGGAAGCTGTCTGAACTGAGTCAGTTTCTGGAACCTGAGTTATGTCTCTAGCTCAATTTCCCAGTGACCCACTTAGCATTCTTTCATTCATTCATCCATCCATTCATCCATCCATTCGATAAATATTGCCTGATGTGCTAAATACTGCACTTAGCATACATGACAGTATCAGATAAGACAGGAAAAGAAGAATCCCACCCTTTTGGAGTTTACATTCTAGGATGTATCGCTGTAAGTAACACACACTGAGGAGAGCTTGCCTTTTAACATGTTTGCATGTGTATAACCAAGTGAGGGCAATTCTGAGAAGTACTTTGAACTAAGTAAGGCAGTGTGATGTAATCAAATAAGGCTAGTATGAGGCTTTTCACAGTACTGCAGGACTGAAGCAAGTAGGAGCAGGAATGGGGAGATATAATTTGAGGGGTGATCCGAGGATATGGCAGGACAAGAAGGAGGTAACCAGGCAAGCAGCTAGGGGCAGAGTGTTCATAGCCAAAGGAATGGCAAGTGCAAAGATCCTGGCAAGAAACTGAGCACAGTGTGTCTGACAGATAGGACGGAGGCCTTGGGTAGAGAACAAGGGAGGGAGCTGAGGAAGATGAAGTTGGAGAGGTGGTAGGGGCCTGAAGGCAGTAGAAAGGAGTTTGCATTTTATTTGTTCAATCCATTCCTCTGTGTATCGGCAAGGATGACATGCTCTCTACGCTGCAGGTACTGTGCAGGAGTGGAGGTTTCAGTGGAGAAGCAGTAAACGTGGCCTCTGCCTTCACAAGACCTACAGTCAACCAGAACAGTGCAGGTGTCTGGGAAAGCCATATTCTCTTGAGCTATTTAAATAAAAATGGCTTATGCTGTCAGTGGAGTCCCTCCTCAAGAAATCCATGATGTCTCATGAGATCCCTTCTCCCTTCAAGCTCCTGCCCACGAAGAATTCTCCTCCCCATTTACTTTGCTGTGTGTCATCAAACTCCATCCACTCCCTGCTCCACAAGACCACTCACACAGAGCACCTGTGGGTGCCTCACATCCCCAAAGGTTGGGCAGTTGTTTCCTATTACAGTGCAAATAATTTAAAGTGTAATATTGTGCATCATAATTTTAGTTTCTAAGTTCGTCTACCATCTGAAATTCCTCTCTGATCACCTCTTGCTGCAATCCAACTGTTCACCATGGTGACAGCCCTCAGGGCCTTAGTCACCCTGCTCATTTCTGGCACAGATCTCTGTGGTCTTCTATGCCCTTGACCTGGGCACTGCCTGAAGATAGGTTTTCCACTCTGCCCACTTGGAATATTGCTCTTCAGGGGCCCGGAACTTATGAATTTGGAAATAACAGACTTGCCTTTCTTCCCGTCTTATCAGACTGTCATGGGAAAGATTGGTATCTGACACCAAGCCTAGAATCTTACACATGGTAGGTGTCATGTAAACATTTGTTAAACAAATCAAATATCAAATCAGAAAGGATCTCCCACTAGATCTGAATAATTTCTCTTCCCTTCACTGAGAACTGAGCATCTTGGGTCAGTTTTGTTTGTTGTCATCATCGTCATCATCATCGTCTTCATCATCATTTATTATTATTAATTCTGCTACGTAAATACCCAGACTGTTATCATAGGATGTGTTATGTAGGGACAGAGGTAAGCAACAAGGCGCTCTGGCCTGCCTGGCTGGGAGAATCCAGCTGAAGCCCTGAAGAATTGACCAAGGAAGAGGTTGGGAGAGTAACTGTTGGAAGAGAAAGAGAGCAGTATGGTCAAAGTTCTGTTGCGAGAAAGGGCCTGTCTGGTTGGAAGAATGGACGGAAGTTGGTGGAGCAGGAGGGTAGGGTAGGAAGGAGTTGGGACTGTAATGGAGAGAGGTCATCTGGGGACAGATCCAGCGTCTGGTGTGTCTTACAAAGAAGTTTGGACTCCATCCTCTGAACAGTGACCATCAAAGGATTTTACAAGGAACATACCTTTCTCTTTGGCTCATGCATTTTCTTCTGCTTGTGAGGCACCTTCTACCACTACCCCTGTTTTCACTCAATCTTTAAATCATGCTCAATTCCCAGATCCCCAATCCTAACGTGAATGATTCCTCTTTGGTAAGCCCAGCTTGCAATATCACCTCTCTTCTCCTTTCTTTCCAATTTGGATGGACTCATTAGGACATATTTGCACTTTGCTTTGTTGGGAGAAATGCAGAAGAGAATAATGGCTAAGGGTGAAAGCCCTGCCTGGGTCTGTGGCTAACCAGGTGTGGAACTTGGGGCATGCACCCAGACTTTCCGTGCCTCAGTTTCCTTATCTGTAAAATGGTGAGAAGAGTTGGATCTTCCTCCAGAACTGTATGAATACATATAGAATACTCAGCACTGAACGTAACGGTCAGGTATTTTTAAATTTTCTGCAGCTGTTACCAGACTGTGAGCAGGGCTGTGGCTCACTGTGTGCTATATTTTTGGTGGCTGGCACCTCCCTGAGCAGAATAGATGCTCAGGAAGTATTCGTAGATCCTGCCATCTTTGGGGGGTTTAGGGAATCCCAGCCCAGCAGCTCCTTCTTAAAGCAAACATACAGGTTTGAATTTTGCTGTCACCTTGGTGACTTACTCAAGTGTCTTCTCTCTTAGCTTCAGCTTCTTCATGGTACAATTAATGTCTACTTTTTAGGTGTCTTGAGGATTAAATGGGATTGGCTCCAAGGATGGGACATGTGACCCAGGGCAGGTCAATGGAGCTCTGATTTGTTGAATTTTGCTTAGGTTAGGAACAGTCCTGTGACCCAAGCTGGTCCAATGAGAATAGGTCTCAAGAATACGGTAGAAGATAGGGGAAGAGATAGGATGTTCTCTATCAGGACAGAGATGTGGGGGAATGTGGGGTTGTAGTGACTGTAATCACTTTCTGGCTATAATGAGAGGACATGGGTTCAGGCAGGGCTGGGAGCAGGGAAAGTGGGGGCGGCACCATCCACAGTGTCTGATGGAGGGAAACTGAGTCCTTTGGATGCCACAGGAGGCCTGAGTCCAGATGTACCTGAAAGAAGCTCTTATCCTGGACCTCTCTGCTGTGTGTACCAACATATACCTCTTTTTAGATAAGTCATTTGACCTGGGGCTCCTGACACTCAGCACAGTAAAAATTCTAACTGATGCACGGTTTCAGCAGCCCTGCTCCCTACCATGCTACCCAGGGCTTCTGTGCTCCTGGCAGCAACAAAATCCATGACAGTCCTTGCAGGGTAGATTGCCCTCATAGTCCCTGCACCCTTTTCTTGTTCATAACAGAATCTTGTTTTGTTCAGGTGGCAATGTCCTTGGCCTTAGAGGATGAATTACTATAATAAGTCTAAACCAACCATGGCCACCTCACTTCCTTTGGCTAAGACCTGGTCTCAAAATAGACATATCACCCAGTTTGGACCAATGAGATAAAAGAAGACATCTATGTGCAGCTTCCAGAAAATATTTTTCTGATTGATAAAACAAGGAGACATGTGAGAAGACCTTCTTATCGCTGCCTTCTCTTCCTATATATTTTCATATGAGGATGAGATGCTTGGAGCTGCTGCAGCCATCTTGTAACCTGAGGATAGACTGTGATTTCTCAGATACAGAAGAGAAAAATAATGGAAATGTTCTCAGTTATTAGTGGCACAACAGCTGAAGAAACCACTTACCTGGGCAACAACTTGCCTCTGAATTTCTTGTGAAATGAGATAATACCTATTTTATCCCAGTTAAGCCACTAGTTACTATGCATGATTCCTTGAAGCCACAGCCCTCCTAAGTAGTGTGTGCATCTAGGTGATATTGCATCTAGTTTCTGATCGAAAGAAGCACCCAAGGCTAAGAACATCAGCTCCTTTATTATTGTTACTAATTATTATTTACTATGTTCCCCCCAAACAACAGCACAACTCAAACAACAATGACACAAATGTCCCACACCCCTATACACAACACCACCAGCTTGTCTGCCAGGCTGCCTGGCCTCTGCTTGGCTCTTGGCAGGGCTATCTAGAAACACCCCCCTCTGTAAAATCCCAACTTGGACATGGGGGACACAAGATGGTGAGGACCTCAGCCAGGGAATTAACCTAGAGGCTTCTAGAGTCCTTGGGGAGGGCCTGTTTGAGAACCTTGGGGACATGCTGTAAACATCTGGGCAGAGGGCAGAAGGCAGTGTTTATTTTTGTATGGTTGGTGGAGAAATCTCATAAGGAAATACAAAATCTGTCTATTACCCTTTGTAAGCCAGGGATGTGGAAACACAGTGGGCTGAGCCACGGGCTCCATTGGTGGAACCGTGAGGCAGTCATGGGAACAGGAAGCCCAGGGCAAGGATCTGGGTAATGCGGAGGTCCCCAGAGATAAGTGACCCTTGCATTCCTTGCAAGGTAAGATACAACATGAAATGCTAAGTCCCCATTTCTTTGTTTGGCAACTACAGAATGTGCAATGCTTTCATCAAGATAGAAAAGATAAAGAAAGAAAAACCAGTACTTTGGCCTAACGCAACAAGCACGGTTTGCCAATTGCGTCATCTTGTGGAGAAATCTACTACTATGTTATCCAGGGAATCTGTGGTCATTTTCCCTTCCCCCTATTCCCCAACATTTTAGTTGCACTATATCTGAGTTCAGCTAAAGTAATGTACCCTAGAATCAGGGAAGCCCTGGGGTTGGGGAGGGAAGGAGGATGGACCAAGGCTGGGGTCTCAGGTACAAGTCACTTCCTGGGTGTCCTGGGGAAGCTCGTTGTTGAAACTGCTCTCTCCAAATGGTGAGTAAGGGGGCACTTGGGGAGCTTCGATGATCAGCAGCCCCTCTGGGGAGAGCGAGGCAAACACTGTTACAGGATCCACCTCTGCAGGAAGCCTAGAAAAAGCACAAGATTTTATTCATCACTTTAAATATGGTTTAAATACGTTTATTCATGTGAGGGAAAATATTTTGGACAAGATGCAGTGCTCAGTGTTTATACCCTGGTTCTACCTATTGGTAGCTGTGTGACCTTGGCAAGGTCACTCAATTGCTTTAAGCTTCTTTTCTCTTCTGCAACAGGGAGATAAAGATATTGAACTTGTATAGCATTTGAAGATGCACAAAGAGTCAGAGTCTGAACATGTTTTGTATATGGCAAGATGCTAGTTGGAAGTAGTTCTTAACTTAAAAATACGCTGTTGGCCCATGTATTTGGTTCTATGTTGAGGTCCCTACCCTAAGAGAGTGGATAGGTTGCTGGCCAGAATTATAACCACACTATTCCTGTGGAGAGCACCAGGAAGGTATTACAGTTAGAGTAGGAAGCACATTTTCATTTGTCATGTGCCCAGTGGAGAGTACTTTACTACAAAATGCATTAATGATGGAATAGGCAGTTCGGTAGGTAAAATGGTCAAGCTGGCCACATGGATAAATTTCAGATGGCAGCATAGTCCATACTGCTAAGAATGAGACTTGGTTTGGGTCACATTTTGATTATTTCTTCATAATCAAGGTTGTAATTGTTTTGTTCCCAAAACTCAGTTACGGATATGTGTAGTTGGAGCTTTTTGAGGGTCTAGTATGATTAAAAGGTAAAAATTAATATATCCATTCCACAGATGACTAAGTGGAGACTTATGATACATCAAAAGACAAACTTAATGAGTGCAAATGCATTAAAAATGGAATCTCTGAACCCAGATCTGATAATAGTTCAGATGAGTTTTTATTTTAATGATTTTTTGAAATGTTTGAGGTGACCGAAGCTATCTAGGATATGCTTTCTTCAACAAACTTAAAACTGTGAGGACCCGTTAATGGTCTCAGTGAGATGCCACTGTTAATAAAAAAATGATGAGAACCATGACCTTCTCAACACTTTGTGTGTCAAGTACTTTAACTGAATCACCTCATCTCATTTAGTTGTTAACAATAATACCACTAAGCAGGTTCTATTACTATCCCCAATTTATAGAGGAGGAAACTGAGTCTCAGGGAAGTAAACTGATTTGCCCAAGGTCGTACATCTGGTATGTAACAGAGGGGAATTATAGGAATTGGAATTGGAATTGGAATTCTGGGCTCCAATCCTGGAGTAGTCAACCATGATGCCCTACTGGCTCCCCTGCATCAGATCTCTGAAGAAAGGATAATTTAGTGGGAGGGAAGGAGGCTGAGTCACCATAGACCTTTCCATCGGTCAGGCCAGATCTGCTCGTTTTAATGCAGGTGTCTTGATGAATGAACCAAAGCACAAGTAGAGCCTAGTCCTGATCCTTGCAGGACCATTCCTGGAAGTTAGGGAGCTGTTTGTTGGGAACGGCAACTCAAACCCCCTTGAGCTACATCCACCCAAAGACACCTTCCAAATTGGAACCCCAAACATCAACAAGCATATGGCTGGGAGGATGGAAGAGAGAGAAAGGAAAGCTGGACAATTGCTGAGGCAAGCTTTTGAAGTGGAGATAAGGGAAAAATACGGACCTCCCTCATCCTATTGGGCATGGGCTGACCCTGTTTGACCATTTGCCCACCACCCCAGTAGGCAGCTCGCCTGATATGGCACTGCCTGAGCTTTGCAAGCAGATTTGCATTCAAATTTGGACCTCACTGTCAGAATTTGGCCTGGTGATCGGGCCCTTCTGAATATATACGCTTGTAGGAAAAAGGATGTAATAATAGTATCTGAGAGTGGTGTGAGTATTGCTTTGCAGTCATTGGCCCCACTCATCGGCATCTTGACCGCTGTGAATATTTTAACACAAGCTGAAGTATAATTGAACCACAGACTGTCAGAGCCTAAAAGGATCTGCCTGTTTGTCTAGGACAGTACTGCCAGATTACACATGGGGACACCGAGGCCCAGAGATGGAAATCTACCGTTCAGGGTCCCAGGTGTGTTCTGTGTCTTGAACCCAGGTGGTGGGAAGGTTCTTCTTCTTCAGATCCCATTTAACCCTTCCCTTTGCATCTAAGTGCAGCTCTCAGCTAGGTGTGAACAAGCCTTGGGTACCTGGGAGCTCTAGCACTGACTCCCTTTCTGACAACGCACTGGCTGATCTACTGCTTAGTCCCTCAGGCAGACAACATTATCTAGTCAGAATTTAAACACATTTTGCTTTCATTGGATTTATTTCATGAATGCCTCCTTCAGTGAACATTTTAATGATGAGAATTGAACTTTATCAAAAGTGAGTTGATCTAAGCATATAAAGCAAAAAATAGCAAAGATGGCATGTGAACGATGGTACTGCAAATGACTGTAATCCCCTCAGCCAAATAGGAGAGTTGAGAGCAGTTAAAGTACAGCCCTGGGTTCAAAGTCATTATCTGCTCTTTTTTTGGAAACAATTCTCTTGAGATAAATTTGGAGTACGAAATTATACATACATGGTATACAATGCAATGTTTTGATATAGGTATGCATTGTATAATTGAGCCATTTGTCAGACCTATCACCTTGAAATAGTTATTTCATGTGCACTGAGAAGATTAAATTTAAGAAGCAGCCTCTTAGCAAATTTCAAATATATAATATAGTGTTGCTAACTATAGTCACCATGCTGTACTTATCTATCCTGCCTCACTGAAAGTTTATAACCCTTGGACTGACATCTCCCTATTTCTTCTTCTCTCTCTGTCCCTGGAAGATACCATTCTAGTCATTCCCTCTATGAGTTTGATATCCCCCATGAAAGAGAGAGCATGCCATATTTCTCTTTCTGTGTCATGTTTATTTCACTTACTGTAATGTACCCCAGCTCCATCCTTATGAAGACAAGGTTTTCTTCTTCTTTATGGCTACATAATATTCCAGATCTGCTCTTTACTAGATGAATGATCTCAGTTGAATCCTATCACTCCTCTGGGCTTCAGTTTCTTCATCCACAAAATAAAATTATTTCAATGATTAAATAAAATTGAACCTGCAAAACTCTTGACCTGGCTCCTGGCACATCAGAGATGTCAGTGAGTAGCAGAGTAGATACCTGGGAAGATGAGGAGCAAGGAGAATGAAGTTGCCTTGGCTCCAAGCATCCTCCACTAATGACCTCCTGTATCCCCTGCTTCCTGTTTGCTCTCTGCTCCAACTTCTGTGTAGAAAAGAATGTAACTACAATCCTCCCAACCTGAAAGGTGGATTCCAACATCTCTCCTCTCTCCTTCATCCAATCAAAATGGAGCCTCTGGGATAAATTTCTTAGTCTAAGGCAAACAGCTACAACGTCCTGCCTGGGTGGCAATCTTGAAGGATCCCAGGCTTGCTGAAGAAGCATCCTCTAAGGACTGACATTTTTCCTGGAAGAGTCATGGAGGTCCCTTGAGGATGGCTCAGGGTTGTCCCGGTCACCAGAACTCCTGGATGCTTCTGGGGTGGGCAAAGTCAGGAGCCCCCAGGAGTCTCAGCTATTTTCCCATGATTCCTGCCTGTGGAGTCTTTTAATACTATTAGTCCCCATGGACCAAGCATGAAGTCTGCACCTCACTCTAAGTGGTTTGTTTACATCCTCCCACTCCTCTCTATAACTCCACCAGCGAGAGAGTGCAGGAATACAGGTCAGTGCCGTTAAGCCAGTTGCTCAAAGTTGCTCATTTATTTTATCATGAAGCCAGAACCTTCTGTATCCAGGGCTGAGATTCAAAATATTTAACAACTGGGTACCACCGGGACTGGCCAATCAGAAGGGAGGGACACCTGTCAAGGTGATGGTGGAGAACTCTAGGACCCTTTAGTAGTTGCAACATGGGGACGGTGGAATGGCCCTGGGCACAGTGTCCGCGAGGCTGTGGTCACTTAGAGAGGGTGCACTGAGGGGAGTGCTCCGGGAAGTGGCTAGAATGTATTTTAAGAACAAGCCCCCCACCAGCTGAGTAGCAGCGCCACGTGGAGCAGCATTTCTATCTGGTCAGGGAATTCCCAGTGAGCTGTTTCCTCTCAAGGCCTCAGAGCTGGGGAAATCCATGCAAACAACCATTTTAAGAAATGATTAATTGCCTGATTTCTTTCCTGCTCAGTCCTTGTCACAGCTGTGCCCTGCTTGTCATTTCATCCTGAGTCCTTGCTGGAGCCGCTGGAAGGATATACCAGTACCCTCCCTTTTCCTTTGCCCTTCCTCTGCTCTCTGCATTGTTTAATCTGGTGGCTGTACCGGGAAAAGGTGAGGGTCATGGGACAGCACGCCAGCCAGAGGCCGAGAAGAAAAAAGACTTTGGTATTTTTCTTATCGGGAAGCGGCCACAGGCTTCCAAGAACTGTGAGGGTCAGAAATGGGCGGGTGTGGGGAGAGACAAGAGTGCAGAATCCCAAAGCTAGAAGAAGTCTCAGAATTTAGCTGGTGCGATCTCTCCATCCTGGGATGTTGCCAGGGCTGGTGGGAATAGTAATACCAAGCTGCTGCTATGAGGACCCAGCATGCACTGGGAAACTCAGCTGGTATCTCAGCAAGGCTGGATCAGCATTCCCTTTTAGAGATGAGGGAACAGCACCCTTGCTCAAGGCCTGCACATGAAACCCGGAGGTCAGGACTCTGGGTGGGGCTCTGCTAAATTCCTATCATGAAGACCAGAGTAAGTCCTTTATCTGTGAGAGACTTAGCTTCTTCCTCATACAGGGAGGGTGGTGTCTCTTTTCCTTGATGCATATCTTTGCTGCAGAAACCAAATGCCGTGATGACTAAGAAAGGACCTTAGGGCTAGAAAAGCACATAGCAGAATGATGTTGGTTAGAGAGAAGGCACCTAGCAGCTCTCTCAGGAAAGCAGCCATCATCCCTGCTAAGGGTCTCTTCTCCCCTCAGGAATCGCCAGTTATATGATCAATGTGGTCGCTATTTGCTGGCCAGCCTGTTTGTGTTCTGGTTGCTCTCCTCTGACCTAAGACTGTTAAGCAAAACTGGCCTCTCCTCTGCCTTCATGTCTCGGCATCCAAACCCTTGTGGGGAGTAGGTAGAGACAGTGGGACAATGTGCAGGTTAATTTGTGTGATTCTCCAGTTTTAGTTTATGTGCTGCTAAAGGGAGCATATTGTGTGTGATATCATTCTCCTGGCCATGGTAGCACAGAGCAACAACCTTCCAAAGAGCCTATCAGGCCTATCAAGGGTCTGTTTTGATGGTGATGGTGATCTTCCCTCAGCCATGTCACGTGAGTGGGTGAGTGTCCCAACTCTGTATCACTGTGGACAAGTTACTTCGCCTCTCTTATTTTCTGATTCTCCATCTGTAACGTGGGGCTAATTCTACTTCACAGGGCACAGGGCAGATGAGTTGCGCCATCTATGTGCTGCTGCTTCTGGGATCCTACTGCAGGTTTGCTGTGACACCTTCTGTTAAGGTGTGAGAGTTCAGTTCCGTCCCGTAGGAGGTATCTCCCAAGAGAGATGTTCAAGAGAGAAAGACCCCAGATTTGGGTCTCAGGTACCCCCTGCTCACCCCTCAGCCCCAGATCCATGCTGCAAGGTCACTTACTGGATTTTCTTGGTGAAGTTCTTGGAAACAATGCCTCCTTCTTGCTGCTTCTCTTCGTGTTTACCTGGAAGAACAAGCAGCGTGACATGTCAGCCATCTATGTGGCCCAGATGTGGCTCAGGCCTGGTGCTCAGATTCACATCCTCCCTCTGCCCCTGCCTCCTTGTGTGACTTCAGTATGGTCTGGAGACTTCAGGGTCTGAGCCACAGGGATCCTGTCCATCTACCCCATGGACATACTTTATTAAGCCCACCTCTCAGGCTGGCTGTGGGTATGAAATGAGACAATGGACAGGAAATGAGGCTTTGACCAGGGTTTGTAGACAACTAAACATTGGTTTTAGGAAATCACAGACACTGGGCCATGTGTTAGTACCTTACCTTCCTCATTTTCCACTTAACTACTTCTCTCTAGCCAGCCAGCAGACCCCCGTGGCTAACATTCCCGATGAGGTCAAAGAAAGAAGCAGAGTAAAACCACATGTCAAGGGCTTCTTTTGCATGCGCAGAGGCTTCACCTAACTCTAAGGATGAACTTCTTTTTCCCTTTTGCTACCGGAGCCCATGATGGGTCCAAGGTCATCCAGCTGGTGTGGCTGCTCTGGAGTTTGAATCAGCTCTCTCTGAATCAGGTCCAAGTCCTGGGACCTTATGTCCCCCTGTCCTCAGGTTTCTGTCTGTGCCAGCTACTGATTAGCTTTTTCAGTCACATTATCTGTACCTAGTAGCAAACCGACAGTCCAGAAATAATGCTTCAATCTGCGAAACACATCCCGCCTCTCCCAAGAGACGTCCCCTTAGAAAAGGAGGCCACAAAATCACAGATGTGAAATTCTACCAGCTCTACTTCCTACAGAGTAACAGGGAAGAGCCACACAACCTCCCTTAGGGAGGCAAAAGATGAAATCACAAAAAGCCTTGAGCCTAAACTGGCTTTTATTTTGCAATATAGCAAACCCAGATCCTCCTGCTCCGCCCTCCCCCCACTCCCATGGTGAGGGTGTCTCCAATTTCTCTTTAAACAAACAGGATTAGCATGTGGAGGAGGGGCGTGTCACTCAGCTCCCATTCCTTTTAGAACCTCATTCTAAAGCCCAAGAGCCTCATTTATACACTGGGGCCCTTCCGAGGGGCTCCAGGATCCAGATTATAAATAACCTCGGATAAAGTGTCCTTATGCAATCCAGACTTTAAAAAACTGAGAAGTTATAGGTGATTGCATTATTAATGACTTTAAGAAAAGTAACATTCCTTTAATAACTTTTCTGATTATGCGATAATGTAGGTTAGAAAATATAGAAGATAAGGAAAAAAATCACAACCACTCTGAGGAAGCCATTTAAAAAGCAGTAAAAAAAGATGATTTTTTCCATGCTCCAGAATTTCCTTTCTATGTTTCTTAAATGTTGTATAGTATAGATATATATCACATACTTATCAAATGGGATCATTCTGTGTGTTATGCTCAAAATCCGTTTTCCTCTCCTGTTAAGACATTGTAATTATTTGTCCATATTGCCAAATATTATTTGACAACATGATTTTAATGACTGTACCCGTCCTTCTGCATAAACACATGATAGTTCATGTAGTCAATTCCTTACTCTGAGGGACTGAAAAGATTTCCAGCATCAGAAAGAACTTCACTGAACTGAGTAGTCCTGGACTTAGATCTTTATACTAGGTCTAAAGACTTCTGGAGGATTAAGTCTAAGTTTTTGAGTGTCTTGGTCTGATTTGTTCTCCCACTAGCGGGGAAGAAGGGGTACATTTATGGGAATCCTTTTTAAACTACAGTGTCTGGTGACCAGAGCATGCTATTCTGTTAATGGGCTGTTACCCCAAGAGCTTATCCTAGCCTGCCAACTCTGAGACAACCAACTTCCCAGCTTTATCATGGGCCTGTGGCCAGAAAGTACTGTCTGTTCCCTGGTCCTTCCCCAAAGCCTGGGCCCCTAAAGGCCTGCTTCCCCTGGGCACAGGCCAGTGCCTCTGACTCAGCCCTTTTGCATCCTGGAATCCTTCTGCATGTCTGGTGCCCTGAGAATCCTAATTGATGCTAATGATCATGATGGTAAGAATAATAATAGCAAACATATACAGACATCCCCTGATTTAACAGTGATTCAATTTACCATTTTTCAATTTTGCAATGATGCCATTTTTCACTTTCAGTACAGTGTTCAATAAATTACATGACATTCAATACTTTGTTACAAAATAGGTCTTGTGCCCCATGATTTTGCCCAACTGTAGGCCAACATGATGTTCTAAGCATGTTTAAAGTAGGCCAGGCACAGCTATGATGTTCAGCTAGCCGGGTGTGTTAAATGCATTTTGACTCATAATATTTTCAGTTTCCAATGGGTTTATGGGGACAGAATGTGATCCTAAGTCAAGAAGCACTGCTATAGAGTTTGTTTGGTGTCAGCCACTGTTCTGAGCACCTTACCTGTAGTGATTCCTTTACTTTTCACAACCTTATGAAACAGGTATTTTTGTTATGATCATTTTGTGAATGGGGAAACTGAAGTTCAGAGAGCTTAAGTGATGTGCCCATATCACTTGGGAATTCTGTTTCTAGAACCCTGGGGTTTGGATGTGAATCCCTTGTCTGACCTTTCCTAGCACATTTCTCCTCTTCTTTGAGCCTCGGTTTATTCTTCTCTGAAATAAGGGAGATACTTTACTGAATTGCCCTAAACAATAAATGGCAGTGAGTCACAAAATCACTTTGCAAGTTGTAAAAGACTGTGTGAAAGTGGCCTCTTCTGGATTTACCTTGATGCTTAGGGAAAGGCCTGAACCTGCGAAGCCAAACGTCAGTCTATGCTTTGAAGTTGGAGTTTGGGGTTTAGGAAGGGAAGGCTTCTAAGCAAGAGGGGCTCCATGGGGGAATCTGGGGAGGGCAAGAATCTAATTGAAAGAGAAGCAAATTGCTCTGAAGGTCATCTGCACATTATTTACATACTTTGATTATTTGGGCAGCTTTTAGATTATGAGTGATTCTTAATTTCTTATTTTGCTTTCCAGTGTTCACTTTGCACCATAAAAATATTTTCTTGCAGGCAGAGAAAAATAATAACTGCACTTTGTAAAGAAAGTGTCACCTGAAGTCTGGGGGAAGAAGAGATTCCTTGCAGCTGCCATTTGCTCCGAGTGACCTGGATAAGTATAGGTGCCAGGAGCAGGCAGCAGAGTGGCTAATGTGATTGGCCCTGCTAAAGAAGGAAGGTTCTGTTTCCAGGGAGGATAGCTGCTCTGGGGTGGGAATGAGATCTTGGGGTTTTCCAGTCCCTTTCTTAGCCAGAGTCTGGCCCAGTGGCTGGTGAAGAGAACGTCTCTTGGCTGGTGGCTTCAGGGTACGGTAAGGATATATGAGACATGGTGGAAATCATCTAGTCCAGCATTTTTCTGGAGCAAGACATTCATACATAGTCAGATAAGTCTGCCTTTCAGAGATCCCTAAACAAACCAAAGTCTCTGATAAGCTCTGCAAGGAGAAAAGAAATCTGTTCATGATTCTGTTGCACCTGGCATCTTCTAAAACTCTGGACTGCCCTTCCTCCATTACTGAGACATCTAACGGCACCTTACAGAAAGATAGTACAGCAAATCCTGGCATAGACCACAGCTCTGTAAGACCCACAGGCAAGCTCAGGTCTTAGAGGTGGTGGAATTTGGCCAAGGTCACACAGGTAGAAGTACATTGAGCCATCCTAACCCAGAACCATTCAGGAGGGCCTGGCTTTGGGTCTCAGTTACTGCCATAGAGAAATGGATAATCACAAGTGAGTTACCTTTTCTGGGCCTCCTTTTCCTTACCTGTGAAGTGGGCAGTGACCACCCACACTCCTAGAAAGTCCTTGTGAGGACCTAGTAAGCCAAGATAGGTGGGCATTTAGCATAGGGCTCAGCACAAAATGCTTGCGGAAGAACAGAGTTGTCATTGTGTAGTACAGCATGGGACACTGAATCCGTCTTCCAACATCCCTTGGAAATTGCTTTTACATGGAGCTCCTGACACCGATCCTGTTTCTAAAACCTCTTTTAGGAAGGCTTTTATATGTACTCTCAGAAGATATGGATCTAGGTGAAGTCACTATTGCATCTTTAAAAGTCCTCTTTGTCTTATTAAGACTCTATTTTATAGACGGAGAAGTTGAGGCACTGAGATATACCCACAGCCTCCAGATTAAATCAGTAAGGTCTTTAGCTGGGATCTCAGCCTGGGGCTGCCACATCCTACATGTAAAGAAGCACCTTCCTAGGAAGATGGAGACAGAGCTCTCCAGGCTGGACAGAGGGTCTCCCAGAAGGGCCAGTGGGTGTGTAGGACTTGGAAGCCCATGGAATGAAACAACTATAAGTAAACAAGGACAAAAGCATGGTGGTAATAATCACCCTGTGTACAGAGTGTTAGGCAGGCGCTATTATTAGCTCTACTTTAGAGACAGTCTGTGTACATTATCATATACTGTCTGCATATATTAAATCCTTACAGCCTTAGAGGATAGCTATTATTTTGATCCCTATTCTGTAGTAGGGGAAACTGAGACTCAGAGTGGTGAAAAGACTTTCCTCTCCATGTCTGTCCAGCTAGTGGACAGCAGTGCTGGGATTTGAACCTAGGTTTCAAAGAGTATCTGCCATTTATTATATATCAGGAACCTTCCTATGTGTCTGTCCCATGTTATTGTTATCATAATAGTGCTTTTACAACAGTAATAACACACTGCTTCCTTCCATCCAGCGCCACGTTTCTACACACTTTATAGGCACCGCCTATTAAATACTGCGATTTTACAGCAGAATCATTTAAACCCTGATTTCCAGATAAGGAAACAGCTGCACAAAGTGCAGTAGTCTGAACACCCTAATGGCTAGTGCAAGAGCTGTGGGACTCTTGCCTGGCTCCCCAGACAACTCAGAGAGCCCTGGCTGACCCTCCTCTCCCTCCATCCGCACGTGGCCCCTGCGTGTCTCCAGGGCCTACCACTCCCGAAGCCGCACTGGAGCCTCTGATGTTTATGATTCTGCCACCAGCAGCTTTGAAACTCCCCCTGAATGCTGCCTGCCTGCCAGGGCTTGTCCCTGCCCAGCTTGTGTTTGCAATGGCTTTTATTGATTTTCTGGCAGACAGGCCTGTGCCAGGAATACAGGCTTTTTAATGGAGCGTTAATTGGGAGGGAAGCGAAAGAAAGCTTTTATGCCGCCCGGTGTAACAGGGCCTGAGCTTCCTGTCTCTCTCTCTTGCCTTTCCCCAGCGTAGAGAAGCCGGGGCCTAGTGGACAGGCCTCACTCTAGTCTCTTCCTGCTGCTGACTCACGGCCTGACCTCGGACAAATCTTCCTTAGCCTCAGCCTCTTCAGCTGCAAAATGGATCAGAACCCCCTGTTACACAGGGTTGGAAAGAGGATTATTTTGGGGAAGGAATATAAGAATTTAGCTCAGAAATAATCATCAGTTCTCTTTTGGCCTCCCAACCCCCAGGCAGTGTGTTTGACCCCTTGGTAGCTTTGAACAAGTTACTTCAACCTCTCTGTGCCTCAGTTCCCTGTGTGTAAAAAGAAGAGACCAGCAGGAGCCACCCCCTCTGATTGTATTAATTGAGATATTACTGATGGAAAGGTTGGCACAGTGCCTAGCAGATGGTAAACACTCAATCAAGGTTATCAGCTGTATCATTATCATTGCTATTAAGTACGTCTCAGTCTCCTTATTGAGGATAAGGGGAGGTGTATTGCTTGAAACTCATTCTGGTTATTAACATTATCATCGCTCTGCATTGCACCTGTCCTTCTGGGCCCTGATACAAGAACATAATAAAGCCCATTTCTTTTTTTGCCTTTTTCCTTCTGAGTCTGTCTAATCTATTCTTCATATGTTAAATTAGCTCTGTCAAAATACCCAACCTAACCAGAATATCCGACCTGTCTTCCTGCCTATCCTGGGGTTGATATGGCACCCTGAGGCCTCAGCAGTTGGGTCAGGTTTGGACTCCTCCTGGGGCCTAGGAGAGGAGAGCTTTTCCATAGATAACTCTGTGGTCTGCATTCCTGAGCCCTGAGGTCACCTGTGTCACACTGTCACTGCTACCCATCTCAGGAGGCTTTCTCCGGGCCCCTCCCAGGGCTGAGGCCTGCACCCCCCAGGTGCTCTTGTTCGCTCACCTGACACCTCCACGTATCCGTCCTTGGTCTTCACCATCAGCTCCTCTGGCTTGAAGCTGTGCACGTTGACACACACTTTCCAGGGCTCTCCAGGGAAAGGTGGGGGGCTCCTGCCCTCAGCAGGTACCCCAAACCTGGCTGTGGCAGTGGGCCCCCGGGGCACCATGCCGGATCTCAGGGTCCCGGGCCAGGCAGAGGGGAGACGAGGCAGAGCCCAGTCAGGCCAAGAGGCGGTCAAGTCGTCGGGGAAGGGGTCCATGCCAAAGCCATCATCCAGCAGGCGAGAGGAGAGGGGCGAGTCCCGGAAGGGGTCTCGGCGCAGCCGGCTTGGGTAGTGGCAGGAGAATGGCATCTGACCGTCAGCCATGATGAGTGCTGAGCTCTCAGGGGAAACAGAGGCTCAGAGAGAGGGAGCCACCTACCCAAGGTCACACAGCAAAGCGAGGTGGGCGGGATGGCTTTCAGAGCTTATTTTTCAGCTTCAGAAAAATGCTGATCTTCTGTCAGGGAGAAGCAGAATCATTCACTGCCAAGAACAGCTGTGCTTACCAGGCTGGGGTCCAGGCCTCCAAAGGTGACCACCCCCCCAGCTGGTCCCACAGAATCCAAGAAGGCCTTTCTGTCTATGGCCTCACCAGAGATCAGCAAGCCACCGTCCTCCCGGGCTGCCCAGGCTCCCAGCCAGAGCTGCGGAGGTCGACAGTGGAGCCAGAGCCTAATAAAACCTCAGAGACACTCACCTAGAAACTTCTCCTGGCTTCTGGGCTGGGAGCCTTCTATTTATTTGCCGCTGGGGGCTGGAGGCGGGTTTTTGCTAGCGCCTCCTGTCACAGGAGTATTCCAAGGTAATGAACCAGCCCCAGAGAATCCACTGAGGGAACAGCTGGCCTCCCAGAGGGGGCTGGGAGGGGCCGGCTGAAGCCACCGCATGTAAGTTCAGCCAGCCAGCCCGACACTCCTCCCCCAGCCACAGCGCAGCTCCGCCCTCCCTCTGCTCTTTGGAGCCTCCTCCTCAAGCAGGGCACTAAAGCTACTGGCTATTAATAACCCTCGCCTGGCTGAGGTCTCAGGTCACCCTCTGGAAATACCTTCCCCAGAGCATGTTGTATCCTGCCTCCCCCTGGGCACCTGCAGGAGGGGATGAAAGAGGCAAGAGCCGGGGGAACCTTGGAGGCAGATGGCCCGAGGTTCAGATCCCCACTCCCAATCTGACCAAAGTCAGACCCAGGATCCGAGCTTTTATACTTTCAATGTAAAGTGGCAAACAAAAAAAGTATACTATGTAAATGACCCTTGTTTAAAGTGCAACCCGGGAAGGGAGACCTTCCTGCGCAGAGGAGCTACAGTGACAGAAGTAGTGATCCATCAAAGCACTGAGATTTTGCAGTGGGGAAAAAAAGATTTGGATCCACTCCTAATACAGTGTGGGCAAAGTAGGAATTCGTAGCCAAACAGCAGGATGGGGGTAAGTGGGTAGAAGATACGGGTTGGGATGGGATGGTGGCTGGACTCTGATTAAACTGACCTAACAGGATTCTTGCTGAAGACAGACCAGGGTGATCAGAATTTACCTGGGGAATGGTGGAAGCCGAAGAACCTGATCAGATATGGAGGGTGAGCAGATATGGGGGCTGAAGGTTGTTGCTACATGGACTTAACAGGGCTCTTGTTAAAACTGGATTTTACAGGAAGATGCACAGATGCGTCCGCAGAGAAGTTCAAGAGCCCGATTAAAGTTTGGTCAAGCCAACAATCTCCATCAGTTGTAACATTATTCTCAGGCATCTCTGAGCTGTTTTCCCACCTGTGACACGGATATGAGAGTGGCCTCCTTGTAGGTGTGTCTGGGTACATGAAGTCATCCTCAGGTAGCACTTAACAGGGGAACTGGTGTTTTTATATTTTCGACTTCAAGTTATCAGGTGCATAAAGATTGAGCTAGAGCAGGCCCTGATCTAACACTTTACAAATACTGACTTCTTTGATCTGCCCCCATGAGCTTATAAGGCAAGGTTTCCCTACTACTACTCCATTTTACAATTGAAGAGTCTGCCATTGGAAGTGTTAAGAAATGATAGCTTCTATTTTTAATATGACTATTTTTAATAATGATATTTATCCAGATGTACCATATCCATCCAGGGTGTTGGTTCTGAAACTCAAAGCCCAGACAAGACACATTTTCTAGATTTCTGTACTCCTCTATGCCACTGGAAGAATGAATTTACAACTAGGCTTGGTGGTGCAGGCCTGTAATCCAAGCACTTTGAGAGAAAGAGGCAGGAGGATCCTAAGTTTGAGCCTAGTTTGGGCAACTTAGTGACTTAGTGAGACGCTCCCTCAAAATAAAAAATTAGAGAAGTGCTGGGGAATTAGCTCATTGTGAAGGCCTTTGGTTCTATCCTCAGTACTTAAAAAAAAAAAAAAAAAAGAATTTACACATATCCCTTTGGCCTAAAGGCTTGGGTTAGGGTTCTAATCTTCGCTCTGCCTGCAGCAGGTGGGCAGCTTTGAGTGCACTATTTTCCCCCTGTGTCCTTAGGGTCTTAGCTCTGTCAGCTTCAAGGGGTGGGGGTGGGATGGAGGTGTTGAGGAATTCATGAGTCATAAGTTGAGAAATTGCTCTCATATGAAGCAGTGCTTTCGTGAGGGAGGTTGCTAAAAATAATAGTACAGAGAACAACCACGGCGACTATCACATATCATCTCCTGTGTGTTGGCCACTTCCGTGAGCCTTTGCAGAGAAGGTAGTGAACCTCTCAACAATATCTTTATTACTGACACCCCCATGTTGCAGGTGGAGAAACAGGTGCAGAGCCTTGGCCCTCCCATGTAGGTGTGGGGTGGCAGGGCCCAGGTGGGAATGTGGGTGGTTCTGAACCCCAGATCTGGATTGAGCTCTCTGGGGAGACCCCCGACCTCCCTCTCCAGCCAAGAGAGTCCCCTCCAATGACAGGTCCTGAGTGACTGCCTGGGCTGCTAGGTGAGCTGGGGTGAGCTCATCCGGCTAGAAGCTTCAGGCTGACGTCATGGCTGGGCACAGAATCCACAGCTCTCTCTGTAATTACAGCAGGGCCAGGCAGCAGGCTGAGCTTGATGCCAGTTAAGGGGAGAATCACTGCATGACTCTCAGGAGCAATCTGGGCCTGCCTGGGACAAGGCGTGGGCTGGGTGAGGTTCCTGTGTGGGTGGCGTGGTCTGAGAGAGTGTGTGTGTAGATCTGAGTGGTGGGAGTGTGTTTACAGGCGGATGGACTGTGTTTATGGAGTGGAAGCCTCCTGGCGGGCGTGCTCTGGAAAGCCTCTCCTTCCCCACCCCAACTGTGTCCCTTCCACAACTCCACCCTGAAATTTTCAGGCCTCTCTGCCTGGATTAGGGGACCAGAAGAGTAGAGAAGCCTTGATGATCTCCTCCACCTTGTCATTTCAAGGTCAAGGAGCAGGGATGAAGGCTGTGCAGGAAGAAAAATAGAACTCGCAATCATTAGCACTACAGGGTCCTTGCCAGGTGCCAGCTTCTGTCCTAAGCACTTTAAATTTATTCTTCACCATCTATTCTTCCTCCAAATTCTATGAGGAAGAGACTTTTGTCATCCCTGTTTTATAGTTGAAGAAACAGAGGCACTGAGAGTTGACATGACTTGCCTCTGTCTGCCCATGTGTTTAAGCAGCAGAGCTGGGATTTGAACTTAAGCAGTTTTGCTCTTGCCTCTGCTGTTTTCCCTCTGAAATTAGTCATGGATTACATTTATGGAACACTGATTGTGTACAGGCCCTGTGCTCAGTAGTTTTGTTCATGACCTCGATTCTTTAGGGTTCAGAGAGGTGAAGCCGCCTGCCCCAGGCCACACAGCCAGTGGGATATTGCTACATAATAAGATCCAGGATGGGACCATATCACATGGTAATATCCAGATATTGCCTAGGCTTTGCCCAGTGATTTTCCCTCACTGCTGTGTCCCATTCCCTCTGGGGTTCTTGCTGCCTTTGTGGGTCAAATCAGCTTTCCGTTTTGGGAAACTGAGAAGGCAGGCAGCTGCTAGTCCTGCTGACCAAGCCACCCTGTGAGAAGTCTGCTAACACATGAAAAAGTGGTGAGCAACCCCTGCCAGCTGTCATCAACTGGGTGAAAATAAGAGGCCAGGGAGAGAATCAAACCCCCAGATTGATTCTCCCAGGGAAGGTGAGACCCCAAGGGCACGTACGTGTGTATGGGTGTAAATCTGTGTGTGTGTGTGCATGTGCAGTCATGTGCAGCTGATAAGGGGTAAGAGACGTTAGATCCCAGGAACCAGAGGAAGGCCTCTTTTTCTTGGCTGTCATTTTCTTAAAGCTTTCACTTGGGGAATACTACAATTAACCCTCAAAACAGCTCAGGAAGTCGGTGACACCACCCTGCAGTTTTGAAACTGGGGCCAGTGGGCAGAAGCAGGGGCCTGACACAGGTAATGCCAGGACAAAGACAAGGGTTTGACAGTTGCAGAATGTTTGTGCTTTTTTTTTTTTTCTTTTTGGTACCGGGAATCGAACTCATGACCTTGTGCTTGCCAGGCAGGTGCTGTGCCACTGAGCTAAATCCCCAGCCCCTGTCTGTGCTTTTTTATTCTACTATAGTAAAAACAAAACAAAACAAAACAAAACAAAACAAAACAAAAAAACCTTTCTTCCTCTAGGGGAATCCCAGTCTTCAGACCCTCTGCCTAATCTCATTCAGCAACCTCACTTCCATCCCAGACTGAGTCAGCGGGCAGAAGGGCTGAGTGAGGCTCTCTGCATCCTCCAAGGCATGGTTTTCTGGTGGTCGTCTTTCCTTTGGTGTCACATACAATTCCAGGGGTGTGGGGCTCTGGTTGGAGGAGTAGATGGATTCTGGGATTCTCCCACATTCACCTAGGCTCCAGATCCAGAAAACCTATGCTCAGGTTCTCTTCCTTCTTTCCTCAGACCCCTGGGATAATGGAATCTGCATACTTGAGGGCAAGACGCCCACAGCAGCATCTCCAGTGTGCCTGTGTGTTGCGGGGGCCAGGAGACCTTGGTAGAAAAGACAGCATCCCATCGGCAGCCTGTAGTCTGGAGTGTCTAGCCCCGCACTGTGCAAGACTAGACACACAACAAATGACTCTGAGAAGTTGACTGAAATGTCTGAAGTAGAAGGTGCTGTAAGCTTTCTAAGAAAGCTTTTATTTCACCCTCAAAGCAGTCCTGGAGAAGTTTGTACTGTTTTCATCCCTGTTCTACAGGAGAGGAAACCCAGACTCCAGGCATGAATTGACTTCCTCATGGTCAACAGTTTGTGGATTCTGAATCCAAGTCTGTCTTACTTTCAAGCCCAGGCCTCTTTCCTCTGAGAAGACAAACAAAATAAAGTTAACAACCCACATATTCTTTTCCTAAGCAAGTCAATAATCTCAGGTGAGTAATGCTTATTTATTGAGCTCTAACTTCCTCCTATTATTTTATCCAAAATTATTTATGGGACTAATCCAAAATTATTTATGGGACTATCCAAAATTATTTATTTACTTCCTGGTCACCTCCAGGAATAATGATGATGATGATGATGATGATGATGATGATAACAAAACCTTATTTACTATTTTGTACCAGTGAGATATATATATGCCAATTGAGGTATTCAATTTTCACCCAAATTGCTCTAAGATAGGTATTTTTGCCCCCATTCACAAATGGTGCTATGGAAGTACAGAGTGATTAAACAACTTGCCCTAGGTCATACAGCTACTAATCTTCACAGCAATCCGACTCCAGCTTTTGTGTTCTTGATGAACACAAAATCATGTGCCAAGCTCTTCTAAGCGCCTTACGTGAGTCACCTCTTTTAGTTTCCTTGGTCTTTGAAGAAGTTGCACGATTGTTAACCACACTCTCCCACTGAGAAGTTTCAACACACGGTCAGCTCTGTAC